TTCTTTTTATGATCCTTGAAAAAAAATTGTATATATAACCCAGATATTGTACGAATTTATAAGAAACTGTGACATTCATTTTTTTGCCCTAATAATAATCAAGCTACATCTTCACTAAATAACATACATTTAGACATCTTGCATAGTAGTTTGTGCTAATGTATCGTTGTATTTTCTGCTGAATTCAAATCTAACACAATGCATGTCGTTGAAAATCTATATGCACATACAAACAAATATATGTTAACTTTAATGAATGTTATCTTGAAATCATATGCAATACATATAGTTTTTGAAAACGCTGTTGGCACTAAGCACGGTGGACTTAACGCCTAAAACGTCTACAAGGCCTAGATGGTTTTAGATCGTGTAGATATTAAAAAAAAAAAACATATATACTAGATATATTTATGTATGTTATAGAATAAAATATGAAATTCCAGGGATTTAAAATTAATAAAATTCAAATATTATGAAGCTTAAAATAGATTATTCAAAGTTCAAAACCCATAAAAGTATTAAAACGAAATATAATAAATATCAAAACAAAAACATTCAAAATTTATCATAAATAAGAACTAGAAAACATTCATTCTTATAAAATAAACGTATAAACAATTAATAAAGTCAAATTCTATCCAGTTATAAATTGAAAAGCTACATCAAAACAACACAAATATTTAAATGATAATTGATTAATGTCATAAAATGACCATCATGGATTGCCTAGGATCACTTAAGACCGCTGAAGTCTGTCAAATTCTACTTAATAATGAGATGCCTAATTGATATACCGAGGAGCTAATTGTTACGGGACTATGGATGTCTAACGTCTAAGCGTCGTCAAGATGGTCGTCTAAACTGTTTTTTAGAATACTAACAATACATATAAAATTCAATGATGCATACTAAATCTAAAACATATGATAAGCATATTGCTACTCTGAACCTCAAATCATATATGTTATGTTACATACACAAAGTATGATGCCTAATAAGAAGGAAAAGGGTTTACAAAATAAAAGTCTAAATTTTTAACATCGGAGCTACATGCTAATAAATCTGCTTGAATTTTTAAACAACAAAAAATAAAGGACAACACAAAATGTACTTCAAAATATTGGCAATTAACATTTGCCCAAGGATATTTTTCACTCCATAGAAATGATTCCATCTCTGAATGAAGTAGTAATAGACATTCTATTCCATTTTCATTTTGTCGTATTTCTGAAAATTACAATATTACTAAATGGGACAAAGATTTTATATAATCTCCTCGAAATTTCATTTTTTTCCACCCTTAGTTTTATCCATCAATTATTTTTGTGGTTAAAATAAAATCCACACCTAAATTTTCATTGACATTATTTGTTTTTTTTTTCTAGAGATAACATTACTGTAGTTTATAAATTTATTTCTATTATCAGTTATTTTATTTGTAAATATTTTCTTTTTAATCAGATATATTATGTATTTCATAGTTAATTTCAACAAATCTCCCCTTTTGTATATTGTAATTTAGTGGTTTTAATTTTGTATATTTATTCTAAAAACATTTTGAACTTTAGTCGGTAAATTTAGGAATGGAAATAATTTCAGCCTATACTGTTTCGTCCCATTTCATTTTCGATCCCAAATTTATATTCTATGTAGGAATGCTTTCCTATATAATACAAGTTATCAATTCCTGTTTGTGAATAAGAAAGGATATGATGAGAACGTGAATTCCCAAAATTTCAT